TATATATATGTATATATACGCACATTCCTGACTATATGTATATATGATTTTTAGAGTATCACATTATTTGTTTGAGAGAGGCAAAGGACACAAAGAACAAAGAAACCGTCCTGGGTGTCTTTGATGGGATAAAACAGCCTGTCGGAGAAAACCTCCCCTCATGTCAACCATTACAGAGGAGTACTTTCGGGAGGAGCAGAGCACATCCTGGAGCAGAGCCGCGCTTGAGAGGAAGACATCAACTGAAAAGACTCCGAGTTAATTCCATTGTAAGAGGCCAGATTCAAAGCAGATGTCCCGGTTCAGTCGGGGAATGGCTAATAAGGAAATCTAATTCAATTCCTGCTTTGATCGCATTATGAATTCACTCGAAACCATGAAATACGCAAGCTTTCAATTCGCCGGGTGTGTCAGATACCAGAGTTGGTGTCCAGAAAGGCTGAAGGTTTTCCCAGAAATGTTGAAATTGTATGAAAAGGGTGCACAAACAAGTCTAACGACAACTATCTTAGCTATTATTTCTAATTGGAAGCTCAGCCCCAGCAGTCATAACATCTATTAAACAGTGGTATTATGTGTTTTTTCCTTATCAGAGGGCATGTTTGGACGATAAGAGGAGGCATGGATGGTTTCTGAAGGTCAGCTCATTCAGGAAAAGCCTGAAAGAGCCAGGGACGTTATGTTCTCTAGAGGAGAATAAAGGGCAGCAGAGCTGTGATTCCTGTTTTTATCAGAATAAGAACCTAGCCGTTTGGATTCAGGCTCTTTTGACTTCTTCTGAATGAATTCAGATTTTTACTATTACTTTAGATAAGATGCTGATGATATTCATATACCAAATTAATCTCTCATTTATTAACATTGTCAATTCGACCTACAGAGTTAAATTTTTGAGAATAGTTTAGCTTTCCCCCCATCCTGCGCCAAGCTGCCATGTTTAGTTTGAATTAAAAAAGACCAGAGTGCTTGTTAGATGTGAGCTCGTCTCTATTTAGGTGCCTTTTAAATTTGAAATAAATAGAGGCTTTTGTGAGTCAAAATCCTCAGAAGTATTTGGATTTATTTGCACCACAGGTTTTTAAAACTACAGGTTGTTAGTTGTAAGTTTCTGTTTGCTCGCTTTTTGACTGCAAAATGAATGTTTTTTTTTCCCTTTTTTTTTTAAATGAATGTTTTTATCATGTGGGATCGGTCTCGTTCAGTAAACACTTCACAATGAGCCGCACATATCCGAGGCACAATTTTTTAAATAAGCCCCAATTATGCACAACTGTAATCTACTTATACTAATAACATTCAGGGGGTAGAGTGGGAAATAAAAATCAATTGAAGCTAATGGGAAAAGTACGAGTAACTTTCCCTCAGAGTTTTGAACTGGTTGCTGATGTTCTCCATCATGCAGCCTGTAATTAACTTTATTAGCTGGAAACTGTAAGGAGAACATTATAAAGAATAGTATTAAAGATATTCAAGGTTTGAGATACCTACCATAAATAGAGAAGATGTGTAAGTGCTACTTTCCACATGTAAGTGGGTGTATAATTTGTGTATAATTTGGCTGCTAATTGCAAAACAGGAGCCCCTGCTGGGAGTAGAAAGCCTTGGGGGTGGAGAGCCCCTGTTCATTCAAATCACTGTAATGACCGATAAGTCCGAGACGTGAGATCAGACTTAATACAGGACAGCATGTGGTTCTTGGAGTGTGAAGCTTTGACGAGCTGGAACTTTACAGACATCGTTATGGAATGATTTCTTGGAGAAAAGCAACCCTTTGAGTTGGTCTGAATGAAATGCTGGATGAAAACAACCCCTAAATGGCCGTATCAAATAACTGCTGGACTCTCTGAGGGTCATTAGGCGCTGAGGAGCTCCCTGAGAGAATCCATACCTTCAGGAGCAATTCCGTAGACAAGCCCCAATCTGTTTTGCGAGGGCTTCATGGACCCTGGGCTTCGGTGTTGGTCCATTCTTTTATATTAAGCTTTTAAAGGACCCAGCTTCACATTCGTTGGGGTTGAGAAATGGCTTTTAACCACTGGACCTGCTATCAGAGCAGGGATACCACGGAAAGTTTGATTGAAGGATACAAAGGGGGACTTTCGTCCATAGATATTTAAATGATTAAACGTTCTTTTTGGCCTTAGAAGAATAAAAATCTTGTGCACAGGTTGGTCAAAGCTTGCCTTGTTTGTGGTTTTTATGGTTCCAACAAGTAATCGAATCCAAAGTTTTACGAGTTTCACAGTAAACACAAAGTTAGTGTAAAACATGCTTATTGGCATATTTTTTATCTGTTATTCAGTTTATTTAGAAAAACAGGACTTAAACTCGGATTTCAAATGGTATACATGTCTCCTTTTGCCCCTGAATTCCCATGGTAAGAAGTTTCTGCTGCTTTGGGTTGGACTGTAGTCATTCTCACAGGGTTGTTGCATTGTCTATGCTTCCTGATCAGTTTAGTGCTGGATTTTTCCGCTAAATGACTATTATCGCTGCTAATAGCAGTCCAAACACATCAAATAACCCCAACACTGCTGGATATAACTTAAACAGCACAAACCATTTCAACCACACAATGTTCAAGAATAAACAGCTGCCTCTTAAAGGTAAGACAAACTTATTGAGAAACATTGTTACTGCCAAACATTCGTAGATCTTCTCGTGAGAAAAAGACAAAATGGCTGAATGTTTTTTTTCTGTAGGCTGAAACCTCGTCAGCAAGAAAATATTTCAACGTTATATTTGATGCTGAGAAAACCTCCCGGCTGATAGATACCTTGGGAAAGTTCAGGAACCCTCTCAGACTGCTTCCTCTTCATTGAGAAAAGAAAATGACCTCGCATTTTCTTCCCCTCGCATCTCTCTCACTTCCTGTCAAATGCCAGGCCCTTCAAAGACTCACTTGTTTGCTCAGCCAGAGACTCCATCTCTTCTGCGCTTTAAACACTATCTCACTGTTCTTCTTCGTCCTTTTTTCTCCGGTTTCCCTCCCCCCTGTTTCATCGGGGCTATTCAAATGAAATGAAATACATTTTCTTTGACAAAGACGGTCGGTGAAGAAGAGCACTAAGAAAAAATCGGTTTTCATTCCGAGCACATTGAT